GTTTTTATACAAATTTTAAAAATAAAACAGGTAAAAATAATGTTTAAAAAATTTTCTTTCCCTAATTTTTGAGGAAACTAAATGAATTTTCCAAAAAGCCTACATAGATGTGGAAATCAGGTTTTTGTGGACATACCCCCATGGGTACCCCTAATTTTGGTATCAAAATATGTGGAATATTAAATACATCAATATCCAAAATCAGAAATTCATACACATTTTTTTCTTTTAATATTTAACAATATGCCCCCCCCCAACCCTATATTTCCCCACCCCCATTTAGGGGCAGACTCTTAAACCCTTAATGATGTGGACATGACATACCAAGTAATAAGAGCTACCTGTAGAATAATGTTAGATATATTGCATTAGGTACAGTTTTTACATATTTCCCTTTGTGCATATCAAATACAATATATTCCGTTATATATTTTTTCATGTAAATGTGGTTTAGTCTATTTACATTTACTCTTAAACTTTTGTTTTCTGGCAACCTCCATATGAATTTCTTTTCCTATACTACATAATTACTTTCATAAAACATTGTTACCTAAATAGTAAACAAAAAGAAACTCCAGATGTGCTGTTTTCAATAACAGCATGTGTATTTATGATTACTGTAAATAGCTCTACATTGATTTTAAAATTTATTTGATGAAAGTCATAGGTTAGTATTAACCACCTAAATCTGTAAATATATAATGATACTTAAATAAATGTAAATTCCAAGTTACTATTCTTAATGCATTAATGTTCTGAATATTAAGCACTTTGGTTCTCATAAAAGACTAAGTGTTAACTGTTTATATATTACACACTGTTAATTCAAGATTTATTTGGCTATATAGTACAGTTATGGCTAAGGCTGTTGATTATTTCCAAATGAGGATTTAATCTTGTTGATATATTTTTTTGAAAAATAAAGTTTACTTTTCAAATACTTGTTTTAAATCACCAGATAGTTGATCTAGGACATATTAATGACAACTAGAATTATCTTTTTATTAAAAAACAAAAGAAATGCAATCATGGACAATCTTAACTAAATATTGTTGGGATAATCAAAAATATATTAATGAATTTCACACTTTCTTCGCTAATATTCCTCTTGGACATACAGACCTGTAGTGGAAACAAAGCCACTCTGTAACCTGGGACCTTATTAAATAAAGAAAAGGATCATCTTTATTTGCAAAAACTTTCTTCACCCCTACCATGGACCTCATCCTATGCCTCAACTAATTTCCATGGTATTTTCTTTGCCCCCTTTCCTTTTCCGTATATTTTTCAACCCCATCTATCCCATTCATAAAGTGTGAGAGCCATGCTGAAAGGAGGAAAGGCTGGCTTTGTGTCAGTCAGCCATGGGCTCAATTGCCTAGCCCTTACCCCTTAGGGATAGACCATTTCCTTTCCCCATTTTTATCAGGCTCACCATGGCCAATAATGAAGATTTTTACCCTTCATAGAGGCATTAAGGCTTGCCCCTTCAACTAGCCTATCTAAATTCTTTGTGATTCCCCCCACAGC